GGCAGCAGCATTCTGTCATCTTGCCTACTGTCCACCAGGGGACAGTAGCACTCTGTCATCCTGCCTACCGTCCACCAGGGGGCAGCAGCACTCTGTCATCCTGCAGACTGGCCACCTGGGATTTTCCCTGAAACCAAAGCACAGAGCCCGGGAGGCCACGTGTTTTCCTTTTTCTCACTTTGCCTTTTTCATTTATATAAAAGCACAGCCATATACCACACATGAGCAGCCATCCTCATCAATATTTCTTGAAGTGAAAACATTCCCTACTAGGAAGGAAGCAAATGAAGAATTCACATACAATATAGGCAGCAAATAAAAACACCAAACCACAACTGTTTTTAAAACTGGAGGTGGAAATCACTTCCCTGTGCATTTTTAATGCAACAGCTACTCCTTCTATCTAAATCTGCTACATTTTTCTGGTGAGTGGCGGTGGATGGGGGTCAATGCAGACAAATGAAGCCCCTCGGCCGTGGTGGGGTTCCATGGGGAAAGGGAGGCCCGTGTGCCCCAAGTGCACCAGTACACGCCGGAGCCCAGGGGTGGCTCTGTGAGAAAACACGGGAGAAACAAAACCCACCCAGGGGGCTCGTGCTCCTGTGCAAACAGCCCGGAAATACAAAGGGCAGGGGAGTTCTACCAGGCAGCTCAGCGTGCTGGGTGCACAAAGGAGCAGGACTGTTCCTGAGGGCCACCAGGGCCCCGAGACCCCGAGGCTAAGCCCTGGAGGACAAAGGCAAATATATCCGGCAGGCAAGGGGGAGGGGGACACACAGGGAACAGGGGTCTACAAAGGAACAGCCTGTGGCAGAGGAACCCTGTGCCGCACATGGGGACCAAGGAGAAGGTGCACCCGCAAGGGGCTTTTCCTTAGGGTGACTGTAGGGCCCCATCTGCTCAGGACAATCCCACAATATTATGCCTGCTGTCCCAGCCCAACAATTAACTAACTTCACACTCTTAATTCATTTTCTAAATAATTTCACACTCCTAAGGTCTCTGGTTTGGAGGATAAATTATACGGTCACACTATTTTTTAGGGACACTGAGTTCTGAAGGGTGTGAAGCAAAGAAGTGAAAGGGCCACATCAGTGTTCCACATGGCACAGATGGCCTGGGAAAGGGGAGGAAGAAAGCCTGGAGTCCAGAGAGTGGGCTCCTGTGTGAGCCAGGGGAGGATGAAGGGGTCAGACTGGAGAGGGGATAACGTGTGGACCTGTGTGTGTGTGCAGATGTGTCTGTGTGCAGATGTGTGCGTGTGCACAAGTGTGCATAAGTGTGAGTGTGCACCTGTGAGCATGTGGCCGTGTGTGTGGGTGTTCATACACGTACATGAGTGTCCAGGCGTGTGAGTGGGCATGCATGTGAGTCCAAGGAGTGGGCTCCTGTGAGCCAGGGGAGGATGAAGAGGTCAGACTGGAGAGGGGATAATGTGTGCACCTGTGAGTGTGCAGACGTGTGCATGCACATATGTGCGTGCAAGTGTACATGAGTGTACATGAGCATGCATAACTTTGGGTGCATGTGCACAAGTGTGCATAAGTATGTGGGCACGTGGCCGTGTGTGTGGGTGTTCATACACATACGTGAGTGTCCAGGCGTGTGTGTGCGAATATGCATGTGTGTGCCTGCGTGTGTGTGAGTGTGTATGCATGTATGTGAGTGTGTGCGTGCATGTGCACGAGTGTGGAGGTGTGAGTGTGCATGCAGGTGTGGGAGTGTGGGCGTGTGTACGTGTGCACAAGGGCAGCTGGGGTGATTCTGGCTGCGGCTGCTGAGAGAATTGATGGGCAGGTTTCTTGGGGCCCAGGAATTTGGAGCCAGTCACCATGGACTGTCTCCAGCTGAACCCTCCTGGGAAGGGCGTCCCCACCCACCCACCACTCCGAGCCTAAGTCACAATTCCTGGGAAGCATCGAGAAGCGGCTCAGAAGTCTCAGGAAGAAGTAGGCTCAGCCACATTTAGCTTGAGGCTTGTTCCAAACGATTAGCCACAAGGAGACCCATTTAAAGAGCCAAGTGGTGGCACGGTGGTAAAGTCCCGGGCACGGCAGCTGGAAATCACACGGCTATGTGACCTTGTACCCTAAGGCACGCACAGACTGCGGGCAGCACTATTAAAGGTTTGCAGATCGTCCGGGGTTAGAGGAGAAACAAGTTTAGACCAGAAAAAGCAAGTGTCCATTTGTAACCACAGCCAGATATTCAAGGGACAATGGACGCATTGGGCGGGAGCTGAGACCGGTGGGTACTAGGGAAAGGCGCAGGCACTGAGGACAATGGAATTGAATTCTCTTAAATTGGTGGCATCGTGGGAACTCCCCAGGGGCTTTGATCAGACCCCTCTGCTTTAACAGGGGATCCCCAACATCTAATGACATTCTGGGTGCTGGTGAGAAAAAATGAGAAGCCACATGGTGGGAATTCATGCTGGGAGCCATGAATTGTCCCCAGGGAATCCAGAGAACATCTGAATGGGGTTGTGGAAGATGGGAAGGATTTTGTGTCACACCAGGGACATGGTGAGGGGGTGTAAAGTGGGGGCTGTGAGAGTTTAAGGCAGGGAAGCATTTCAGGAGGGGCTGAGATGAGGTGTGAGGGGCTCGACCACATGGTCTTCCAGGAGAACTGAGGAATGGGGATTTTTTTTGGACCCTTGAGGGATCTGATGAGGAAAGACTGGGAAGAGCCTCACGTGCTTTGCTAAAAGATCTAGTAAGTCACCTGCTGCTCATATTGTTCTTTTCTGGTATATAATGAGATTATTTTTTCAGCCTCTGGTTGCTTTTACGACTTTCTGTCTGCTGACCACATGCCTAGGTGTACAGATCTCTTTCTAGATGTTCTCCTTGGGGCCTGCTTAGCTTCTTGGATTGAATGTTGATGTTTTCCACCGAATTTAGTAAAATGTGGCCACTGTCGCTTCAAGTAATTTTCCTGTTCCATTCTCTTTTTTCTACCCACATAACACACATATTTAATATTGTGCCATATGTCAATAAGCCTCCACTCATTTATTCAATCTTTTCCGTTCTTCAAATTGGCCATTCTATGATCTCCCTTCCGGTTCACTAACCTTGCTTTTGCAATCTCCAGCCTGCTGTTACACCCATCTAACAAGATTTTCGTTTCAGACATTTTGCTTCTCAGTTCTCCAATTGCCATTTGGTTTTTAGAAACATAGTATTTCCATTCTCTGCTGACACTCCCCATCTATTTACTTATTAAAAACATCTTTTCCTTTATATCCTCGTACATTTTTTTCATAGCTACTTTAAAGCCTTTGCTGCAAAGTCCAACATCTAGATCACCTCAGGGTCTGTTTTTCTCACTGCCTTCCTGTCACTGGGTTAATCCAACTGCCTAGGGTACCTGCGACAGCTCAAGAGCAAAGGGCTGCAGAGGAACTGGTCTGCTGTCACGGTATCTTTTGATTCTGGGTAAAAAATATAAAAAGGCTCCCACATCACATTCTCATGAACTCAAGTCTGAAACTCAGAAGTCCCACTTACTGTGTGTCCTTGGAAGGTTTTGACTGGGCGGTCACAGCCGAGTCTGCATACATGAATACACATGTCTGTGCTACAGGAGGCAAAGGTAGTGTTGTGCTGCCAGTCCACGTCAAGAGCGGGGGCTGTGGAGCAGGAAAGACAGGGAGGACGCTGGCATTTATCAACTGTGCACAGAGCTCGGCTGACTTAGAACAATTAACAGCGTGGTGGAGAAGCCATATCTAGTAACATGATAAAACATATTTCCGTGTGAACAGAGACTCTTTCTTTCAAAGACCTTAAAGACCCTCTCCTCCCACATTTGCAGGGACAACAAGATGCCCCTGGAGAGAGGACCCATGGCCCTTTCTGTGCCCCGTGGCATGCAGGATCTCTTGCTCCCACGGCAGAGGTGAGAAAGGGCAGGTGAGGTGTGCCAGCTGCCTGCCCCTGCACCTTCCTGCTTGAGCAGTATCACCATGGTGGGCCTGTTTGATTTGTTTGCACAGAGAGAGGAGAAAAAAGAATAGGAAAAAGATTTCATAGCCTGTGTTCAAGATACCCCAATTAAAAAACCTCCTGCAACACATTAATGCATCCCATGGATTCGAGTCAACAAGAATCCCATATTAGGGATGAAATTGGGTGAAAGGTTCAGGACTCGTGATGAACACCCTCCCTGAGTACAAGAGCCCCACTGCTCTGCTGAGGGTTTTGAGGTGACTGCCCTCTAGTCACTCCCGGCTAGACCTCTCCATGTCCTGGGTTTCCCTACTCCTTGTTGCAGTGTGAGCCCTGCCCTTGCAGGGACCTCAGAAGTAACAATGACGGGAACAATACAAAGGTTAACTCATGCTGCAGTTCAGTTACGGTCTCGTTCTCTACTTTCTGGGTTCTTTGCTGGGATGGCAGTGGGAAATCCAGCCACTTTCCAATGCACTGAAACGCCTGGGGCCATTGTCCAAAGCCCAGCCCTCGTTCTGCCCTCAGAACCTGGTGCCCTGAGACATTGGAAGAACACGTGAAGACCAGGGTGGTGAAGTCAGAGCAGCCAGACTCCATCCTTGTTCTGTCCCTCAGGCATGTCTTGGGGTCTCAGCTGCACATGGGGATGTTCTGACAAGCCCTCAGGGGATGCTGAGTGTGGAGTGAGACAAGCCATCTCAGGCCATCAGCACAGCTACCAGCCACAGAACGGGTACAGACCTGTTAATCCCCACGGCTGTTGAACCTGTGGCCTCCAAGCCTCATGCCTGTCCAGTTACAGGGAGCAGGTCTGTGGCTGAGGGCGGCTGCTCCCACCTCCTCTCAGGCACCCACTTGCTCAAGTGTCCACTTGGCACTCCGGGGGCTCATGGCCATGCTCCACTCATGTCTCTACATGACTCCCCTGAGGCAGTCTCACTGGAACACTCCCTAGAGGCATTTACACATCAAGTGAGAAGTGACGGCAGGAGGTGGGGGGCTCAGGAAGGAACAGCAAGGGGGAAAGGGAGCTGCTCACGTGATGTGCCCCTTCTCCTTAGGAATCTCAGTGAGTTCCTTTTATTCAGGATCATCACAGGCTGCTTCTGAGAAAGAGAAGCTCTGGAACTGAGCCCTGTGCTCACAGAACCCTGACTGGGAAAGCTCATGGCCTGAGGGCTGTGAACAGTGCTGCACTAGAGCACACGTCACATAGAGAACAGGGTGCTGCCTACATAGCGTTTGGGGCCATCGTAACCAGGTAATGTCTTCAGGGGCCAGGAGCTCAGTGCTTCGAGGCTTAACCATCAAGGTCTGACCACCCTCTTACGATACGAGCTCTCACCATTCCTTCACTGATGGGAACGGCCCCTGCCTGTGCTGTCCGTGCAAACAGTGCAGTTTGCGCTGAGCACCTGCTTGACTCTGGGAGTCTGGAATCCGGGCATGGGGTAGGCAGTGGGTGCCACCATGTGACCAGCCCCAAATGAAAACCCTCAGCACCAAGTCTCTAATGGGCTTCCCTGGAAGACAGCTGACTTCTGGGGGAATTAAGCACGTCCCATGTGACTCCCCTGAGAGCTCACGTCTGTTCTCCCCTGGACTTCATCCCATACGCCTTTTCCCTTTGCTGATGTTGCTTTGTATCCATTCCCACAAGAAGTCATAGCTGTGTATGCTGAGTCCTGTGTATCCACCCAGCAGACGGCCAAACATGGAGTGGTCTCGGGGACCCCAACACAGCAGCCCTCTTGGAGCAGCAGGACAGAGAAGCCTGCCCTGGCTCTTTGGCTGGTTCACGGTTGTGTTTCCAGACTCGGGAGCAGGTGGGTGTTGAGGCGTCTGTACCTTGGAAACCTGAACGACAACACGTAACACAAAATGGGTCTCCTTCCCACCAGCGCGGTTCCACAGGCACCTCCCTCTGTGCATTCACAATTAGTTTAAGGGACAGTGTGCGTCGGCGGGGGGTATTTGCTCAAGCGTGGTGAGGTCACGTGACCCTCAAGGGGACATGCTCCATGCATGAGGCGAGAGGGCGTCCGGCTTTTTGGAGACCTGCTTAGTGCTTTTGAGAACTACAGACTTTATTGGTGTCCCCTTGAGGCGTGCGTCCCGCTGTAGGGACCCACTCAGTATAGAGGGATGTCATGCGTCCCGCAGTTGGGGATCATGCTCCATTTGGATGCAGGGCACATAGCCCTTGGGGATCATGCTCCCTGTGGGGTGATGTCCCTCGGTCTGTTGGGGACGACATGTTCTTGAAGGGTGAGGGCACTCGGACTGCCGGGGTTCTGCTCCCTGTGGGGTGGGGTCCCACAGTCCCCTGGTGGTGAGAAACTCTTGAGTGGTGAGAGCATGCGGCCCGCAGGGATCCTGCTCCCTGTAGCGTGATGTCGCTCGGTCCGTTTGGGAGGACATGTTTTTGGAAGTGTGAAGGTGCTCGGCCCGCGGGGACGGACCTGGTCCGTGAAGTGTGAGGGCTCGAAATCTTATATGTGTCCTGGTGAGGGCGCACGGCCCACGGTGCGGAGCTGCGCCTTTCGGAATGAGGTCTCTAGGCCTTACAGGTAGGTGTCCAGGTGAGGCGTGCATCCCTACCGCGTAGGGACCTGCAGCTTGAGGGCTCCCAACTTTTTGGAGACCTGCTTAGTGCTTTTGAGGACTACAGACTTTATCGATGTCCCCTTGAGGCATGCGTCCCGCCCTAGGGACCCGTTCCTTGTACAGTGAGGTCGCGCATCCCGCAGTGGGGGATCATGCGCCATTCTTCTGCAGGGTGCGGCCCGCGGGGATCCTGCTCCCTGTGGGGTGAAGTCCTGCGGTCACCTCGGGGCAAACAGCTCTTGAGGGGTGAAGGCGCGCGACCCGCGGGAGTCCGGCATCTTGTGGGCTGAGGTCCCGCAGATGGCTGGTGGCGACATGTTCTTCAGGGGTGAGGGTGTGCGTCCCGCTGGGGTCCTGCTCCCTGTGGGGTGAGGTCCCACAGTCTGTTGGGGACGACATGTTTTTGAAGGGTGAAGGCGCTCGGCCCACAGGGACGGACCTGGTCCATGAGCTGTGAGGGCTCCAAATCTTATCCGTGTCCTGGTGAGGGCGCGCGGCCCACGGTGCGGAGCTGCGCCTTTCCGAGTGAGGTCTCTAGGACTTACAGGTGTCCAGGTGAGGCGTGCTTCGCATGGTAAGGACCGCTCAGTGCAGAGGCAGGACGTGCTTCCTGCGGTAGATGAGCATACTCCATTCGGAGGGAGGGCATACGGCCCGCGGGAGTCTTGTTCCCTGTTATGTGAGATCATGCAACACTCGCGGGAACATGGGCCAGGTGTATGGTGTGAGGGCTCATGGCCTTTGGCGTGACGTTCTCAGTGTGCCATGAGGGTAAAAGGCCAGCCCGGGGAACTGCTGCGCGGTCTTGAGTGAGGGCATTCCGCTCGCCTCTGGGACCTGCTCCGTCAGAACTTAAGGTGCGGGACCCTCGTTGGTGAGGTCACGTGGTGGATTTGGAGACCAGCTTACTGCGTTTGAGGACAACAGACTTTATCGGTGTCCAAAGGCTAATGCGGGGAACTGCTGTGCCTTCTTGGGTGAGGGCATTCCACTGGCTTCTGGGACCTGCTCTGTGAGGGCTAAAGGCGCGGGACCCGCGTTGGTGTGATGAGGTGACCCTTGCGGGGGCATGCTCCGTGCCTGCGGGGTGGGGGTGTGCTTCACGCCGGGGTACATGCTCCGTGCGGATCGAGGTCTCGAGGTCTTATAGGTGTCCGGGTGACAGTGCGCGTCTGATGAGGGGTATGTGCTCAAGCGTGGTGAGGTCACGTGACCCTCAAGGGGACATGCTCCATGTGTGCGGCGTGAGGGCGCCCGGCTTTTTGGAGACCTGCTTAGTGCTTTTGAGGACTACAGACTTCATCGGGGTCCCCTTGAGGCGTGCGTCCCTCTGTAGGGACCCACTCAGAGTAGAGGGAGGTCGCGCATCCCACAGTTGGAGATCATGCTCCATTCGGGTGCAGGGTGCGTGGCCCACAGGGATCCTGCTCCCTGTGGGGTGATGTCCCTCGGTCTTTTGGGGATGACATATTCTTGAACGGTGAGGGAGCTCGGCCCGCGGGGGTCCTGCTCCCTGTGGGGTTAGGTCCCGCGGTCCCCTGGTGGCGACAAACTCTTGAGTGGTGTGGGTGCGCAGTCTGTGCGGGTCCTACTCCCTGTGGGGTGAGTTCGCACAGTCCGTTGGCGACGACATGTTCTTAAAGGGTGAAGGCGCTCGGCCCACGGGGACGGCCCTGGTCCGTGAAGAGTGAGGGCTCCAAATCTTTTTTTTTTTTTTT